CATCAAGTTTGACTGTGCCAAAGCGCGGGTGTACAAGATGGCCGCTGAGAACCAAGCAGCCATGGAGTCATGGGTAAAAGCGTTGTCAAGGGCTAGCTTTGATTACATGAGGCTGGTGGTGAAGGAGCTTGAGAGGCAGTTGGAGGAGATCCAGGAGGCTGCAGGAGGTGGCGGTGTCGGGGGTGGAGGTCTGCAGGGCAGGCCCAAGTCCTCCAGGCGAAACCAGGTGCCACGGTGCAAGTCTGGAGCATCCTCTTCTTCATCATCTTTATCTTCCTTGTCATCATCATCAAGTGCCCCTCCCATGTCAGTCCCCTTCTCTGCACAGAAGAGCCTCCAGGATGAGGCGCAGTTCATCTCTGAGTGCTCCAAGGAGAATGGAGTTGCATGGAGTAAACCACCGGTTGCCTTGGTTAACGGCTCTATTGAGGCAGCGTCCTCCTGTGTGGCCTGGGAGGGCTGCGCGGACTCTGGGAATAACACTGTGATTGGTTATGGGGCTGATGGGGTGAGGGCTCCGCCAGTGCCACCCAGGAGGAGAGGAGCATCTCTGGAAAGCCCTGTCTCCCCTGGCACCGGCTGCTTCTCCAAACTCCATGACTGGTACGGCAGAGAGGTGGAGGAACTGAGAGTGGAGTGGCTACAGAGCCAGTAAACTAATGGAGACCTGTGGATCATCTCGTTTTCCAGTTTTATCATTCCTTCCTCAACATTCTGCAATGTTACACCCTTTCAAACCCAACAGAAGGGAGAGCAAACTGAGACTTAATAGCAAATTGCAGTCTTATCACCAACCAAATAATAATAAAAAAAAAACATTTTAGACTGATTCCAGATCTTGTCTGGCACAGGAGAATCAATCTGTCTTAAACATTAACACTATCCATTGTACAATCCAAGAAATTTTAAAACCCAAAATATGCTTTTTTCCACAGCAAGTGTCATTTGCCAAGGACAATTCAAAATGTTAATAATACAGTATTTAAAATGGTATTCATTGTCAGTTTTTCTTACAAGGTGCAAAGAGTTGTAGCCTTGTAGATAACATTTCTGAAAAATAGGTTTTTATATTATTATATTGCCAATATTCGCTTCAAAATATGCATGTACAATTGTTTTTTTGTAAAGCTGCAGGGACCTTAAATCTAAAATCACTACTAAGTCTCTTTCTGATGGAAGGGACAAGCCCTGGATGGTAAGGATGATTTCTGTTATATGCAATATATTATATGTTATATGAAATAAAGAGGGCCACATAAGTAATGATCTAAAGTCATTGCACAAAACAGATCCACATGGATCAGGTTGCTATAGTGATGTTAACGGTGGTGAGGGAACAGGAAATCTAGCAGCTTTATATCTGGTGATGTCTAAGCTTTCCTCTCTGGATGACAAAACAAAATTAATTTGTACAGTTGATGAGATTTTTTTTTTACAATCTAATGGCAAGAGCACCAGGACAATGAACAGCTTTCAAGTTTTAAAAATGTATAATCTAAATATCTATGAATAAATCCAAACATTTTCTGCAACTCAAACCACTTTAACTCCTAAGGTCACTTTAATATGTCGACTTGTAAAGAAAAGAGAATTTTCCTGGGATAAGACGCGGTTGTTGGGTGGGCAGTAACTAGTCCACATTCTTCTCCGTACTCCCACAGGGGCACATCTCACCCCAGAGGCCTTGTGGTTGCTAAGGTCAGAGCATCCTCTCGACAGTCACTGGGGACTGTAGTGGGAGCTGGATGTCTTGCTCAGAGCAATACTCTGGTATTTTTAGCTCTTGTTAGCCAGCGGCCAGATGAGGCTGTTTCATAAGAATGCTTGTCACTTAGTTCTCTTTTGACTCTGTATTTCATAAATATCTTTGAACTTACAGGAGTTAACACATGTCGCTGTAATTATGATAATTTCATATCAGATGGTCTTAATTTAGTCATGCTTTTGGTTTGTTTGTTACAAGCTGGTTAACCTGAAAATTACTGAATGAGTGTAACTGTTAGAGGCCTATACTGTGTGTCTACATCTAACCTCCTGGTTTGTATATAAATAGTTACTGTTCCATGTTGGAAATTAACAACAGCAGTCTGCAATATGGGCTTTTTAAAATGATTGCTCATCCAATCTCATAGACGTTTACATTTTTGTTTTATATGTGCCTTCTGTTATCTTTATATTGCAACCATTACCATAGGACTACAGTGATGGGAGGGTTTGACTTTGCTTCTTTTTTTTTTTTTGATTATACTCCTCTTCATTCTTGCAAAGGCTCATCTGGGTGCAATCACTTTTTGACAATGGCTCAGTCACTTCAGTGTGCATCAATGCACAGCACTATCATTACAATTACACAACAATGTGGGAAGAAGCGGTACAGTGTGGATTGTATTTTTTCAGAACGAAAGTACTGAGGCGGTTTGCTTTTGACACGTATTATCTAGAATTTTTGTTGTAAATCCAATTTTGTTAACTCCAGAAGAGCATTACCGTAATTACGGATGACAATAGTCTGTTTTTTGTACAATAATATTTAAAGGAATTTGTGAATGTGTCAAATAAACCATATAAATGATAATGGTTTCTGTCTTCATGCAGAAGTGCCAAATGAAGAATGCAATCTAAATGCACAATAATCAGTTTTTTTGATTGACTTCTACAATTGTAGTACAATTTTTCAACGTCATTGTACAAAATATGATCATTATTTTAAATAACCAATATATGTAACACATTGTCCTGAAAAGACATTTGTTAACAATGCATTTATTGTAAACCACTCAATAAACAGTATATTAAAACGTTATTTGTGAACAGTTAATGTTCCTTTGATGACAATATCTGTTGGTTCAGGTGAAGTTTTTTTTATAATAAAGTTGCAGCAAGACTTTTTTTAATCATTACTATGGCCGGTTGAGGAATTTGATGTTTTATCCTTTATTTATTTATTTACATTTTATGTTTATTTAGCAGGGGCAGTGCACAGTACATTGGTACTTATATTACCAGATATAACCAGTGCATCACGTCATGTGCAGGTGACAGACATAGCGGTTAAAGATCACTAGTAAATAAAAACCTTACACTCACACATTCATTACACATTTTTACAGTTAAATGGATCCACTGAGTTCATTTAATGCCTGGCCTTATGAAACCACACACACACACAGTCTTAGTGCTATTCAGTCTGTCTCTCACCAGGTGTCGCTGTGCAGCAATTTTAAACAGTAGTCTCAAACCTTTGACTGCAGGGAAATCAATACTTTACACCTGGAGGGACAGGTGAATATAACAAACCGTCTAGAGGCAAAAATCTGCAAGAGCAGAAACATAATAGTTTTATAGTATCAACCCAGATGGACTGTGTGCTTCAATTTCTCCTCTTCATCTTATGTAGTAAGCACTTGGTAAACCGCCATAATGATCAATAGAAAAGAGGTCGTCTCCTGTAACACAGGTTAGTGTAACATATTGAGTTGCACTGGCAGGAAACTATCATACCACTAGTTAAATTTTCTATCCTTTAATCCGCGCGTGTTGTGTTAGGCTCTATCAGTTTAAGGAATTATTTAAAAAAAAATAAAAATAAAAAGTTAAGCATATATAATTCAGTAATAATGGATGTGACACAGTAGAAATCCCTTTTAAAGCAGTGACAGACATCCACAGATTACAAACTACATGTACAGTATCTGGGAACACTTCTTGAAGGAGTCTGGACAGTTTCTGCATCTTGCACATACCGTACTTGACCAAAGGACTCGTGCCTGCAAACAGCACGAAAAACTACAGAGAATAAGGAAACTACTTCCGTTGTGGCGACTTCAACATAAAGGTACGTTTAAATGGTGCTATATATACACTCAGTTTCATCTAGTCAAAATTATAAATAATACTCAATAAATACTCTCAAGAAGGTTAAAAGTTCATTTTTTGTTGAAGCTGTTTCAGACAGGTTTTGATTCAACTTTATGATCCATTTGGAGGCTTCAGTTCGTGGTGCTGCATTGTATTATACAGAAAGATGTTATGTAACCTACCCTCACTGATATAAATGGGGTAATAATAAGATAAGTATGTAAATATGTGAGGTCAAGAACCTATTCCTTGTTTTGCATATGCCTGTATGTTAAGAAAACTAGGCTAAATTAGCTTTCTGCAATTTACTATTGGATAAATATTAGGTTACCAAAACAAATGAAAGCATATCTATGAAATCAAACAATAATTTATGCAAAGAATTTGACAGCTTCCAAGAAACCAAAATTGCCATTGTTGAGCCACTCAAGCTTCAGAGCTTTAACAAAGAGAAGCAAGAGGTGTATAATATTTGCCTTTTCCAAGTGAAATGCAGCATGCATATATTATATGTCAAATCAATTAACCATTCTGTGGCAGTGTGGATATTTTACTTTTTAATGCCTTATGAATAAAACAGCTACAGTGAGTCACAGTTGCGCATTAAACAAAAGGATTTAAAAAAATAAAAAGCATTGTTTTTGAGTAAATTAAACCCCTCAAAAGTATATAAATTGTATAAAATTAGCTCTACCATAGCAAGTTACATCATTAAACTGCACCAGTAACAATAATACAGTAATATATAATAATAATAATAATAATAATAATAATATAACCCTGACAGAGCCCCTTTTGCTTGCATATTGAGTATTTTTACTTGAGTACTACTTGACTACTTGATTTTCTTTTCATACATGAAGGATTGAATTGCCAATGGCTGTAATGAGACATGATGTGCACAAGGCAATAACCTCATTTTAAAAGCAGGATAATATGCTACTGCTATCTAAATACTGCTCATAGGTCGTTTGTACACAGGGCTCCCCTAGTGGGTTAATCGGGCCTTGATGACTGGCGCCTCGGACGCGCGTCTCTTATTTTGAAAACTAAACAGGAAGCCATTTTGAGAGTTTCCTTCAATTGACACAGCTGGTTTTTTTTTTTTTTTTTTTTTTTGACAGCGGAAATGAGGAGTAGCCACTTTTTTCCGCATCAAGTTCGTGGCTGAAAGTTTCTTTCCTCATTTTTTTTTTTTTTTGTTGCAAAGGAACCGTCGCCTGCACGCACAATGAGAGAGAAAGCCACGCGCCTTATAGCACGCAGCTTCTCCTCTCACGTCCAGTTTCTTTTAGCTCCTCGCCGACGTCGTTTTTGAGTTAACGTTACTTTAGATGTTTCTCAGCACATTTCCGTTATGCGAAGTCCAACTTGTTGGTTTGTCGTCGTGCTGCGGTGGGTGCCCATCCGAGATAACGGAGAACGTGAGTATGTGTGTGTGAGCTCCTGTCAACTTTTATTCCCTTATCGTCTTAAAGTGCTTTTTATCACCGCTAAACTCTTTACTTCACCACACGGGGAAGATACATCCCAAAGTGACGAACCGCAGCATTAATGTGGACAAAGCTTGTGTCCAATTTTATATTTTGTGTGTTTTTTTTCCTTCAGTTTTTTTTTTTTTTTCTGATAATCGTCGAAAAAATGTGTTCGTGTGAAATTTAAAGGGCTCTGCCTCTTCTCCGGCTCGGGGCTTTTTGGGCCAAAAAGTTAAAAGGTTTTCTATTTTTAAAAAAAATAGTCTTTGAGAGCTGCTTGGCGTTACTTCAGTAGTTGGCACAAAAGATGTACACAACACGTGCTTTTCTTGTAACTTAGTAGTAGCTTAAGTCCATGTGAATTTCTACCACATCATATGGCGCAAATCTATCAGTTATGGTCGCCATGGTGATGTCGCAATATGAAACCTATTGTGATTCATTTGTAACATTGTAATGGACCAAACATGGAGCCAAACATTTAAAAAAAAGAAAGAGAAAGTTACTTAATTGTTCGCCAGTTAAGACCCTTATATAATAACTTTAAAAGGTGAACGTTATTGTTGTTTGTGGCAGTCGTTATTGTGCAGTGCTCAGGTTCAGTGGTCACTCCTCATGACTGCTGGATGGAGAACAGGAACAAGTGGGGAGCAGCGACTTGGTTTCATAATCCTGTGTTGTATAGCAGTAAATCACAACAGTAATTTCTGTGTGTGTGTGTGTGTGTTTTGGAGGGGATTCACTTCTATTCATATCTCGTGTGTGTGTGTGTGTGTGTGTGTGTGTGTGTCTCTATGTGTGTAAATACAGGTTTGTGTACAGGAGGATATTTCTTCAAAGTAAAAGGAGTCTCTGTCTGTCAGGCAACAGGTGTGTAGTTTTAGGGGTTCCCAGAGTTTTCCGACTTAAATAGTAGTTGAACAGTTATTAGGATGAATGGATACAATCTGAAAATCCTTTATACAGTGGTGGAAATGAAGTAAATACATGTATTTAGGTATTGTACTTTGAGGTATTTCCAGTTTGTGCCACTTTATACTTCTACTGCAGTACATTTCAGAGGGAAATATTGCACTTTTTTACTAATTTTGACAGTTTTGTTGCTAGTTATTTTGCAGTTTTACGATTTTACATATCAAACGTATGGTCAACAAACAAAATATAATGCATTGTAATATATCAGACTATCCAGCAGTATGTAAAGCAGTTAAAATTAGCCTCACCTCGACCAGCTACAACTTTAAAATATTGCTTACACACTGAGGGCCTGTCCTCACGAATACGTTTTTCTCGAATCCGGATAAATACTGAAAACGGTATCTTTTGGAAACGGGTCCCAGAGTGGGAAAGTCCGAAAACGCCGGATTGCCCAGAGTCGTCTGGACGGCGAAAACGGATTAGCCCCGCCTCTCTAGCCTTTAACCTCAGCCGCCGCCACTAGACGCATCATAACAACAACAACAATGGTGGACTACTACTACTTGTTTGTAAACAGTGCATGCTCCATGGCTTCTCTTTCGGTTTTAGTGTATTGGTTTGGCGGCGTCACAGCCCCACATGCAGGCCTTGCATATGTACTACAGCGTTTTGGGTCGTTTCAGTGAATCCGTGTGGACGCAGATATTTCTGGAAACGACGCCGTGTTTACAGAGATTTTCTTCGAAACGACATCGTATTGGGTCAGGCTGTGTATTCGTGAGGACAGGCCCTTTAAAGGTCCAGTATGTAAGATTTAGTGATATCTAGTGGTGAAGGTGCAGGTTGCAACCAACTGAACACCACTCACGTTTGTATTTTAAGATGTGAGAATGTGAACGGGCTGTGAAGTGTGTAGAAGAAACTACAGTGGCCACGTTACTTGTAAAAAACCTGCAAAAGGCCCTATTTACAGCCAGTGTTTGGTTTCTCTGTTCTTGGCTATGTAGAAACGTGGTAACTAAGGTAACAAAAACACAACAATTCCTATTTTGACTTTTTTACCCCTTGGTATTACTACCTAAGTAAAGATCTGAGTACATCTTCCACCACTGCCTTTATATCGGAATATCCCAACAGTCTCCCAGAGATCAAAAATATACTTGGGAGGGCTACCTCCATCCCGTTTCCATCACAATAATACAACAGGCCTCAATTGAGCCAGAGCATCGTCACTCATTAAACTAACTACAGCTAAAATATAATGAAACCAGTGTTAGTTGACCGACTAACATTGCTGAGTTGAGCCCTGGTTTGGTTAACACGGACAGTTGACATCAAAACCACCTCTTTAGTGCCACAACTACCGTGTTTGGTCTGACGTATGCACAGCGCTGTATTGTTACTTTCACTATCACACCTGGCTGCCCTGTTTTTGTTTAAATGGACGTTAATGTATACATGTATACATGTGCTGTTTCTTGGGATAGGTTTTTGGAGCCTGTAGCAAACTGAATGACACCAGTTGGTATCTGTTAACCAGTGCTGTTGTTGAAATTCATTCATTTTCTGTCGTCCGACTAATCGATGAACTCATTGCTGCAGCTCTAATTGTGATATAGTACGGTATGTTGAAAAATCAATTGACAAGCTGTTAATTGACATAATAATGACTGTTTTGTGGCAAATTTAGCCAACTGAAAGTCGGACAAATCAAAGTGTAATTTTGCCATTAAGCACATTGTTTTCCCACAGTGGCCCCTATACACCCAGAGATACTAAAGGGATCAAGTCTATGGTATGGCAAAGTCGCTGGTGATGTATAAAGTTGTGTTGTCTCATTGTTCTTCTCGCCCAACCATACAAATTATTATCAGGGGACCAGCTGTGGCATACTACCAGGCCTTCTTTAAAAATGTGTATCATCAGTATGTATGAAAACACATTTGTAGGGGTGCATATTTACCCCCTGGAGTAATCCCAACGGACTGAGGTTGACGTTCGTAGTCATTAAGATGTGACAGTTGTAACACCTTGAGTCACTGAAGCACAAAAGACAGAAAAACATGCCTCTAGGGTGGGGAAGTCGCGCCAGCTAAACAGTACATACTATTTTCCATGGCAGATAGTTATGAGTCTGTCAACCCCAGACAAAAGGTTGACTGTAATTTAAGGGTTCAGTGCCGTTCCAGATCCCTAATTGGCCTGTACAGTCTGTTTATGATGAATTACAGAAAAGTGTTTACTTCCCTACAGACTTCCTTGGTTTCTGAATTTTGGTGCCGTCTTCACTTCTCTTTTACTCAGCGTGGTATGTTCCTGTATAAATGCACACATGAAACCTAAGATAAATACAGTAAAACGTAAATAAATAATAAATAACTACAACCACACAGTATTGGCAGAAACCATTTATGATCTCCAGTTCTGAGGACCATCTGAATATCATAAGTTAGGATTTTCTGCTTTACATTTTCAGCACTGGAAAATATTGGACTTTCCCTAGAGAGGGGGATGACACTTGTTTAGCATGATTATAATAGGATTTTCTCCAACATGACGTGATTACTTGGTTGGGGATTTTATGCACCACAGCACAATATTGTCTCAGTAGTATCTTTTCTTGAACGAGAAGACTGTAGCTTCTTGGAATTTGGACATCATAGTAGTAATTTTTTAATCATTGTGTGTATTTGATGTACATGCATGATGGAGTGTGGAAGAAGTGAAAGTAGTGGACTCAGACTGAGTGTCATGGTTCCATGTCTTTAACTGAGATGTTTTCGGACGCCAGCTCTTCTGCTTCCCTCCGGGGTTCTAAGAAAGACAGGAAAAGAGAAAGAGGAAGAGAGGAACCGTGGGAGATTAATTTGCAGCCAAACAGGAGTAGGAATTTATGGAAGAAACAAATTAGGGCAGAAAATGGAAGAAAAAGAAAGCTCTTTTCTGGTGTCAGTAGGGACCTTCTACAACATAACACACATATTTTCTAGTTTTTGTGTGTGTGTGTGTGTGTGTGTGTGTGTGTGTGTGTGTGTGTGTGTGTGTGTGTGTGCTTACACAGCACTTGGCCACCCAAACAGTTAAGCCTAAAAATCTCCTAACTGTATTTTCTCATCACACACACACACACACACAAGGCATACAGTAGGGTTAAGTTCTTGCGTGTGTGTGCACACGTTTGTGCAGGCGTTTTGGGGGGACAGACATGCGTGCCTGTGTTTTTTTCCAAAGCAGCAATAATTAGAGACTGTGTGTGTATTTGTGTGTGTTTACCCCAATGTGCCCCTGTTCTTGTTGTTGGAAGAATGTTGATTATAGGCCCGATTTAGCTGCAGCAGTATGAGGATGTCGCTTAAAACTTGCGTGCTTGTAGGCTCTGCAGTTGCAATACATTAATGGATTTTTGTGTGTGTATACATAGTGAGTGATGTAGGATGGGGTCATGAGTTTTGTTTTTTTACTAGTAGCTGGCCAGTCAAACTTTCCAAAAGAAACACACCCTGAATAGTTGCTTTTTAGCCGTGAGAGGTTTATCCAGGTTTCATGAGTGCACACATATAGAGCTGCAACAAGTTGTGTATTAATGGATTACTTGATGAAATTACATTGGCAACTATTTTAATGATAGATTCATAATTTCAGTCAGTTTCCAAAGAAAAAGGCCAAATATTCTCTAGTTTCAGCTTCTCAAATGTGAGGATTTGTTGCTTTTTTTGACTAAATGTGAGTGTGACTAAATTAGTAAATTAAAAATCTTTATCTTTTTGACTGTTGGTCAGACAAACGCAAACTTAAGACAGCACAAACTGTGAATGCTATGATTTCACAGTATATCATACACCAAACAATCAGTTAATTGAGCCTGACATTCATATACATATTAAATTAAATATTAAATAGCTTGTTGTGTGTGTATGTGTATGTGTGGGGTTTAGCAGAAATGGGAGTCATCTAAGCTGAAGTGAAAGCAGAACCCATTCTCACGCACAATACACAATTTGCATCTTGTCACGTACGTTTATTCCCAGCAT